CACGTGGCTCAGCCTGCGGAACCTGGTGCGTGACAACGGTGCTGAGCGGTTCACGCGCTCCCCCTGAACCAAGTATACGACGCAGGTGGTAACATCGGATAAGGTGCTACAGTGATGCCTGACTAAGCATCGAAAACCGACATATATAACTTTAAGAGGACCTGTAGCGCTTGCATCATTGGCTCTATTGATCAAGCATATAGATCCTGGGCATGCAAAGCCTCGCTGACCGGTGCTCATGGCATTTCATATGTCCTAGTGCGTTGGTATCACTGGCGCCACTAACCAGGACTCAGTTCTTGACTTTAGAGACCTAGTACAAAGAGACGCCAAAAGGAATGAAGGCCCATTTTGAAATTGGTGTCAGTTTGTGTCTTCCAACTGCCGAACCAAATTCCCAAGGACGACGAACACGTCTGGTTGGATACACCAGGTGACATGGCGAGAAGCCGACCGTAGCAGTGTTTGTGTTGTGAGTTTCTGATAGCTTTTGTATTTTATAATGTTTTGTATCACATTTTATTATATATCTGAGTCCTTGGTATCGCAATACGAGTTATACTGATCCCCAACTTCACCTAAAGTGGTGATGATGATGTTACCACCACATACGAACAAGCCTTCGCAGAGTACGAGTGTTAAAACACAATCGTTTCATTTGAAATAAAGGTGAATATCCGTAGCTCGGGGTGTGGATGCGGGTTTTGAGCTGTTCTCCGAGCTGAGTGATTATTGTGCAGACTTTTCGTTGCCTGAATAGGCAACATCATCAGTGCGGCTTCAGGGGCCTGGTTCGCAGTGCCTCGTAAGCGACTTTAATGTCCAAGTGCTTATTGATCAAGTTCTGTTTCGAATGCCAGGCTTCAATGAACTCACGTGCTTGCCGGCTTTCAGCCCTTCCGAGGATAGTGGCATGCTCTACGTCGAATTGATGGTTCTCGGCATCCATATGGACTGACATCAGGGAGTTGTGATGGTGGCGACGAATGGCTAGGCTGTGTTCGTGTAGCCTTGTGCCAAGCTTTCTTCCAGTCTGTCCCACGTAGTATTTGTCGCAGTTCCGGCAGCAGATCTTATAAATCACACCAGTTTCTTCCTCTTTGCTAAGTTTATCCTTCACTTTGAAGAGTTTACAGCGAATTGTTTCCGTTGGTTGGTGTGCAACTTCGACTCCAAAAGGCAATAAAAGCCTCGCTGCCATTTCAGAAATGCCGTTGATATAGGGCAGTGTTGTTCTCTTTTCAGCTGTTGCATTTGTCGAGGTGTGTCGAGCAACCTTTTGTGGTGCGAGGCAGCGTAGAATGAAGCCTTTCGGGTACGAGTTCCGCTTGAGCAGATTGAAGAGATGGTCTTCTTCTGCCCGTCTCAGCTGCGTGCGCTACAATGGGTTTGTGCTCGTTTGAAAAGGCCCCTGAAGCCGCACTGATGATGTTGCCTAGTCAGGCAACGAAACGTCTGCACAATAATCACTCAGCTTGGAGAACAGCTCAAAACCCACAATCGTTTCATGCCTTCTCAGTGAATAGGCTAAATGACGCAGCTTTGCAAGAGGATGCACTAACGGCAAGAATGCTCACCCTACCATTGCGCTTGAGAGTGACATGGCGAGGACGCAATAGGTGTATTAGTCTGATGAATGCAAGGTGGATCTTTGCAACTGGTTGTGAGACTTCATCTCCAAAACCGATGGTAGTGGAATTAAAGCATTTTCTATAACGTTACGTCAAGTTACACTGTATGCCCTATCATATATATAACCGACATCACAATAGTTGCTGTTAAATACGGCATTGTCGGCAGGACTATCGGCCTTGTTACGCGGGGACATTAAGTTCGTACTCATGTATTTGGTTTCGTTCGACCCCTACCCTTTGGTGCCTTAACGTCAGAAGCCTTACTAAAATATCTGTTATAATCAGTCTGTATCAGGGCGATCTGAAGATTCAAGCTCGGTTAACTCGCGTGGAGACTGGTTTCACCAAGACGTCCAGTTGCCAGATATACCCTACCTTATAAAAGTTCTGCTTGTTCCGTGGGCTATCCGTATCGAAGTGTAGGAAGTACCCGGTTTGACTGCCAACAATTTGGGAACGATGTTACAATCAAGAAAGCGGATAACGTTTTTATTTAGCTTCGATGCTCACTAAACGCAAACTCACCTGCCGCTTTTTGTTTCCATTTTAATCATGGTTGTTCTGAGATGTTACCTAAATGTAAACTAGCACACCTAGTCTAAAGGTTTTGTGTGAAACGCGACAATTTGCGAAGCAAATGCATTAATCAGCTATTCCCAAGGCCCGCTGAAATGCGCCCTTAGTACCTTAAGGTCTGTAGTTAGCGGAACATAAGCAGCAATAACAGATCCACAGAATATAGCGTTGCTCCACGCACTGATCTTGGCTGAGGTTGCTAAACGGCTACTCACGAGAATCCAATCAATCAATGATCACAGCCTTGGAGCGGAGAGATATGCTCACCCAAACCCAACTTGTCGTTGCCGTGTCAGTGTCTCCGGATGTGTAACTACTAGCTAGAAGACAATGTGGATGGGGTTAGTTAGATAACCGCGTGGGGTTCAGTGATTCCAGTTCTAGAAGAGCAGCAATTGTCAAATTTGTGTATGAAACATGATGATTTATGTTGTAGGGTACAAATGCTAAACTCCGCCCGAGAAACAAAATAGTGTGAGCCGATAAGGGGCTACTTATGGTATGAATCCAAAGTGATGCTGGAGTGTGACTACAGGTACTAAAACTCCAATGATGTATTGACTACAGTCAAGTAAACAGGGATCGTAGAAGGAACGTACGCGGTGGTCATTGGAAAAAGAATAAGGGAAAGAGGAGAACAAAACAGTAAGCAACAGTAGTAGCACGATTTCCTTTGTACGCTGTTGCATGGGGCAGATACGGTGATCCTTCGAAACTAAGAAGTGGCTGATGTAATGTGCAGCTGGAACTTTAGTTATAGGTGGACAGATACTGCTATGGCACCCAAGGGGTCTTCAACTAATACCGAAGACCGAAAAGTCTAATTGCAAGGCAGCGGGAAATTGCCAATGGAGTATGTGGACGATATAGTTCACCTTAGGTCCGATGCAATGGCTATGCATACACTACTGCACAGACTTGTGTAACGCTGCCAACACACCGACTCCCCCGTCGCGCGTTGTTTGCGCGTCCGGGATCTGGATGGAAGAGCAGGGGAGGCCAAGCGATGAGTTGGTCAAGAGAAATGAAAGCCCTCACTTCAAACTTGGTGTCGGTTTGTGTTTCCCGACCATCGAACTATCAAGTCCGAAGGACGATGAAGTTTGGTTGGATACACTAGCTGACATGGCGAGGAGCCGACATCAATGGCATTTGTGTTGTGAATCTCTTTGTCCCTCCCCTCTCCTTTGGCTGCCCCCTCCAACAACGACCTCAAAGCATGATGTAATTTTAGCATTATGCTACCGTTTTTGCTTTTTCAGTCTGTAATATTTAATCTTTTATCATTTTGCATTGCGGCATCTTGGATGAGGTGTGTTTCCCGCCCTCAGCTAACGTGCGTTCTGATGATGTGCGTAGCGCTGCATGTTTCAGCATGTATTCTGCGCCTTTAGAGCGCAAAGTGCTGTTGCAGGACTGGGCCGACACACCTCCAATTTTAGCTACTTCCGTACATCCACTAAAGTAGTGGATCCGTCCACCTACCTCAGTATCTATGTCACCTCTGGTGGTCATATCACTGAGGTTACTTTGCGTATTAGCAAGGCCCGTGTGGCTTTTCAGAGGCTCAACCATCTACGGAGACGGCGGGATATCAGTTTGTCAGTGAAAAATAAGGTGTAGAACGCTGCGTTACTGTATGGACCAGACCTGGCGAGCTCGGAGTAAAGAAAATGTACCGGGTTTGACCACATGTGCTTGCGGATTATTGCTCACGTTTTCCGGTTGATTTTTGGCAAGAAGCCTTCTGGTGTCTTACTCGAGTGCTTGCTAAATATTAGTCCCTTGCAATGGTGAGGCCATGTTTTCCACATGCCCGTTGATCGGCCTTCTCGACGCGCATTATAAGCCGTGGCCGCAACAGGTTGGGCGAAACCGCGAGGTAGCCGGTCCATGACATGGCACAGAAGCTTTGAGAAATTGACAAAAAACTTGGCTGGTGCGTAACGTATTCGTGGATGTGGACCTAGGGACGGTCCACATCAACAGTTGGACTGTGTCAGGAATGGCGCAGTCACGAAGTCAGAGGCATTCCGGCATTTGGTTTTTTTCATACGGTCGTTAATTTTCGCTCCGTTCTGTTTAGTTTAACGCATTTCCTATTTTCCTCTGTTTTCAGTACATTCTATACGCATCCAAATCTACTATCTTACCATTATTTGCTATTATTCTTACGGTGTGAGTCGTGGCAATTGGATGCGTAGCACTTCGGCGCTCGAATCATAGTTGTTCAACTGTACTGAACTGCCCGGTTTTAGGAAAATGGACGCCGCACCATTTCCGACCACCATAATAAGGGTCCGAGTACTGAATTCGGTTGACGTCTACCCATCCAATCCGATTGGAGCAGCTCTTAAGGGGCCTATAAACACAAACCAGCATAGCTGAATGGGTCGAAAGGACACGCAAACCGACGTACCACATTAAGACAGCCTCGTCGAGATGAGCAGAGGTAGCAAAAGAGGAAACGGCCAGGCAGGATAACTACAGACAATACTTAATAAAGCAGGTTAGTAAACGGATCGTAGACAGACTGTCGTGTAAGATGTGACCTTTAGGAAGGAGGCCAAAAGCAAATCATGCGGTTCATGTGATATGAGTAAACCAGATCGCTCAAAATAGGTGGTCAAATACCTCACTTGATAGGGAGAAAGTGTGGTATAAAGAAGCCGTAATGTTTTTCTACTAATCAGAAAGCTCCAGTCCTGCCATTATCGCAGACGGTTTGCGTGCGTTATGAAGTGGGATTAAAAATAGATGAAGCGTATTTCCACAAACATGCCCACAAACCTTATGTTCTCCCTGCAATGTAGGGTGATGTTTCTTCGGCTTCCTAAGTTTAACAGCTTTAGGTGAGTCACAATTGCTGTTTTTCTTCAATGAGATGCGAAGAGGGGCGATGCATATGGCGCTATAGGAACCAAAACCAGACTCCCCCGTAGCTCCAATCGTCACGTTATTGCTTCCTTGTGAAACGTTCGTTTTTGTAGGATACGTTTCACTATTAGATGAAACAAGGATATCGGGTGGGAGCTTCAGTTTGATTACTGGATTTTCTTTATTGTACCCAAGATGAGGGGAAAATGCATCTTTGCCCAGTAATGATTTCAAAAGAGAAGGACTTTGCGTAGTGCTTGATGGCTTTGAATACTCGTCCTGGAATTCTCTAGAGAACAGTAAGATACACAGAGAAACCTACATGTCGTCTACGGATACAGACGCAATTGCCGGCGCCAAAAGACGAACAATGCGGTCGTCAGTCGCGTTTATACACCGAAAAGCGTCAAGTACAAGCTCAGAATCGTACAGAAGAGTTTTGTCCCCAATAGAGACATGAGTAGATTTGGGAATAGGAAGCTCAGGAAGGATGTCTGTAAGAGGTTTACAGCTGCTAAATGAAAAAATTGGTATGCGGCCAATGTCTCCATGCATTGGGTAGCAAATTTATGGATAAAGAGTGGAAAGAAAAAATTAAAAATCTATTCCAGGATTCAACATTTGCTTCATCAGTCATGGTTTCGTGTAATCAATAAGAGCAATGGGCATTACCAAACTCCAAGCCGCAGCAAGAGCAAAGGAAAACCTGGGTGGTGTAGTCCGGTACAGCCAGGTCAAGTGAGATTCGAAGGTCAGGTCAGGTCAGGTCGTCAGATGAACGTTAGAGGCTTCCGCCTAACGAGCGTCTAGTTCTTGTGCCGGTAAGTGCAGCGGCCCCCGGCACTTCGACGTTGGATTGTCTCTTCTTGCTTCTGCAATGGAATGAAGCAAGAACAAGAGCAATCTCTGCATTTTCAAATGCCAGCATCAAAATGCACTATATATACCGGTACAACTAAAATAGCACTGGAAAGAGGATGGACTAACAATTGTCTAAGCCCCTTATGAAGGCTACTACGGTCTCAGACGCCACTAAATCAGAAGGAGGTTTATTCCAGTAGTTAAATATTCGGTTCGTAAAAAGGTTTGCGCTGATGTCCAAACGGCCTCTATGATGTTTGAGCTTCAGACGATGCCCGCGCAGATGGTCTGACGTAGCCAACTCAAACAGATGGGTGGAAATAATACCACAGAGTCCCTTAATGAGCTTAAACGTCTATCAAATCCCCTCTCAACCTGCGCCGTTCCAAAGAAAATAATCCTAAGCTGCTTAGACGATCTTCGTAAGACTTCCCTCGTTGACCTTCAGTCATCCTGGTCGCAAGTTTCTGAATCTTTTCTATACAAATGACGTCACTCCGGAGGTACGGTGACCAGCCTGAATACAATACTCCAGATGTGGCCTGACCACTGCTTATATAACTGCAAGAATACTTCTGCTTTAGTGTTACTCAGCGCCCTCCTATGACGAAATAACTCGTGTCGTGCTTTATTAGCAGCATGACGACACTGTGCCGAAGGTTTAAAAATTTTTCCCTACGATGACACCTAGATCACGGGCTTCGTCAGCACACCGCAATGATAGAGATCCCACAGAAGACTGAACTGCAATTCCGCTACCACCACTAGTCAATAGTTGACATTTGTTGGCATTTAGAGGTAGGTCCCATTGGCTTGACCAATTCGCCACAGTGATAATGTCCTTAGCCAATGTCGCTCGGTTTCCCCTACTGACTAGCTTCAAGTCATTTACGAAGATGTAGCAGGGATCCTAAAAAAGAGGAACCACGTCAGTTATAAACATAAGAAACATAAGACAAACAGGTCCCTTGGTAACAGTAAGCGAACAAGAGCCCCAGTACTTTGACTTTGGTTTACTTCCGTAGCTTTTTCAAGGAGTTGGATCAGAAACAAAAGCACTGTGTTCTGTCACGCAGTACTAGGTTACAGCAACATGGTACAACGAAACCGATTCAGTTTCAGATTCATATGGGACTGGAACGATAGAATAATCCCTTGAGTCTTCCCTCTAGAGCGGATCGTTGAGCCAGCAAATGATAAGATGCTACGAGGGCTTGAAAGAGCTAAAAGGAAACATCTGCAGCACACCCTTGTCAACCAATTGCTGCCCAACTTCTTTGCACTTGCAATCCTCGCGGTGTAATTCACTTGAAGTGAGGAAGAATCGTACAGAAGAGTTTTGTCCCCAATAGAGACATGAGTAGATTTGGGAATAGGAAGCTCAGGAAGGATGTCTGTAAGAGGTTTACAGCTGCTAAATGAAAAAATTGGTATGCGGCCAATGTCTCCATGCATTGGGTAGCAAATTTATGGATAAAGAGTGGAAAGAAAAAATTAAAAAATCTATTCCAGGATTCAACATTTGCTTCATCAGTCATGGTTTCGTGTAATCAATAAGAGCAATGGGCATTACCAAACTACAAACCGCAGCAAGAGCAAAGGAAAACCTGGGTGGTGTAGTCCGGTACAGCCAGGTCAAGTGAGATTCGAAGGTCAGGTCAGGTCGTCAGATGAACGTTAGAGGCTTCCGCCTAACGAGCGTCTAGTTCTTGTGCCGGTAAGTGCAGCGGCCCCCGGCACTTCGACGTTGGATTGTCTCTTCTTGCTTCTGCAATGGAATGAAGCAAGAACAAGAGCAATCTCTGCATTTTCAAATGCCAGCATCAAAATGCACTATATATACCGATACAACTATAATAGCACTGGAAAGAGGATGGACTAACAATTGTCTAAGCCCCTTTTGAAGGCTACTACGGTCTCAGCCTCCACTAAATCAGAAGGAGGTTTATTCCAGTAGTTAACTACTCGGTTCGTAAAAAGGTTTGCGCTGATGTCCAAACGGCCTCTATGATGTTTGAGCTTCAGACGATGCCCGCGCAGATGGTCTGACGTAGCCAACTCAAACAGATGGGTGGAAATAATACCACAGAGTCCCTTAATGAGCTTAAACGTCTATCAAATCCCCTCTCAACCTGCGCCGTTCCAAAGAAAATAATCCTTAGCTGCTTAGACGATCTTCGTAAGACTTCCCTCGTTGACCTTCAGTCATCCTGGTCGCAAGTTTCTGAATCTTTTCTATACAAATGACGTCACTCCGGAGGTACGGTGACCAGGCCTGAATACAATACTCCAGATGTGGCCTGACCACTGCTTTATATAACTGCAAGAATACTTCTGCTTTAGTGTTACTCAGCGCCCTCCTATGACGAAATAACTCGTGTCGTGCTTTATTAGCAGCATGACGACACTGTGCCGAAGGTTTAAAATTTTTCCCTACGATGACACCTAGATCACGGGCTTCGTCAGCACACCGCAATGATAGAGATCCCACAGAAGACTGAACTGCAATTCCGCTACCACCACTAGTCAATAGTTGACATTTGTTGGCATTTAGAGGTAGGTCCCATTGGCTTGACCAATTCGCCACAGTGATAATGTCCTTAGCCAATGTCGATCGGTTTCCCCTACTGACTAGCTTCAAGTCATTTACGAAGATGTAGCAGAGATCCTAAAGAAGAGGAACCACGTCAGTTATTAACATAAGAAACATAAGACAAACAGGTCCCTTGGTAACAGTAAGCGAACAAGAGCCCCAGTACTTTGACTTTGGTTTACTTCCGTAGCTTTTTCAAGGAGTTGGATCAGACACAAAAGCACTGTGTTCTGTCACGCAGTACGAGGTTACAGCAACATGGTACAACGAAACCGATTCAGTTTCAGATTCATATGGGACTGGAACGATAGAATAATCCCTTGAGTCTTCCCTCTAGAGCGGATCGTTGAGCCAGCAAATGATAAGATGCTACGAGGGCTTGAAAGAGCTAAAAGGAAACATCTGCAGCACACCCTTGTCAACCAATTGCTGCCCAACTTCTTTGCACTTGCAATCCTCGCGGTGTAATTCACTTGAAGTGAGGAAGACGTAGAAAAAACGTGGAAGATTAAGAGGGAAGCGAGTCATTTAACTGAAGGACAACCCTAAATAGCGTGGAAAATAACAGAATTTGAACGCCAAGTTGGAAAATGGATATCATTGTATCATTGTATGGTAGAGAGCAGAAGGATAGTCCTTTATCAGCTCCGTCGCTTCCCAGTCACTGCGGACATTACTGAGGTGATAGTGCATATAGGGTTCCGCAAGGAACCTTAAAGCTAAGTTCTGAAGCAATATCCAGGCACAGATATCAAGTGGGAATCCAACCTTTTCTTTAAACTTTCCTCGTACAGCGCATCAACGAGGAGCTCAGAAATGTGATTCCATTCATTAACCACGCGCGTGGATAGAGCTTGCTCTGACCACACACGGAGTCTCCTCGATTTTAACAATTTCCACTCGTGACCACGTGTCGAGCTTTCAATTTTCAGATGAAAGCCCGGCTGCAACTCGCTTCCTAGCTTTCCTCTTAGGATCCGTCGAGTGTAGATCAAATCGCCGCGACGACGACGGTAAGCCAGAGAGAAAACGTTTAATCGCTGGAGACGGAGAGGATAAGATAGGTACCGCAGCTCTGGCACACATTTAGATCCACGACGTTGGACCTTCGCAAGCATATCGCATTCGGTCTCCGTGAGAGGCTGGGCAGCTGGCAAGCCGTACTCGATAATCGGGCGCATACGTGAAGCAAATAGGAGTCTGAAGAGTTCTGGAGTAAGGCGGGAGAATGCTCTTTGTGAAGCATGAAACATGCTATAAGCAACGGCGACCCTTTTCCAGGTGTCCTCAGTTGTTTTGAGGTAACCAGGCACAATTTCTCCTAGGTCCCTTTTCTGAGCGACATTTCTAAGCAGGAAACCTTCAATATGGTACACCCCGAATGGTTCACGAGCACCAATCGGGAGTACGGAACATTTATCCCGGTTGATAGGTAACCCATTTTATCGACCAGTCGCGGAGCTTGTTGAGTGTTTCTTGGAGCCTGTCTGCAGCCTCAAGTCTGGATATCTCAATCCAATTTCAAGTCCTCGGGCATAGATCGAACATTCCTACTGCAGCTCGGACGGGAGGTCGGCAATAAATCTGTTGAAGTGGACACGGACAGGGACAAAACCCTGAGGGACACCACTGATCATAGGAAGATGAGCAGAAAGCGTATCACTCATCCTTACCTGCGCAGAGCGATTGTACAGGAAATCGGAGATCTAGGAGAGCAAATTTTTTAGCAACGCCAATTCCGCGGACTTTGAAAATAAGCCGCTCATGCGGAACCTTGTCAAAGGCCTTGCTAAAATCAACAAGCGCGATATCCAATCCTTTTGCCAACATTTAACGGCTTCATCCATTTCTCCCTTGCCACAAACAAGTTTGTGCAGCATGAGCGAGCGCTTCGAAATCCACGCTGGGCAGAAGAGATGAATTCTAACTTTTCGAGATGGAGGCATGGCGTGCCTTGTGTTGTCCGTTCCATGATTTTGCAGACGACAGATGTCAAGAAAATAGGACAATAATTCGCTGGATCTTTTCGGTTTCCTTTTTTATAAATGCGCTTGATGATGCCCGATTTTAAGGCAAGCCGGAAGACGTCCAGTATCAAAAGACAGACGGAAAATCTGAAACATAGATGCGGTGATGTGCTCGGTTACAGTTTTAAGGAACCATGGAGGTAAGCTATCAAGGCCAGGCGGAGAATATGGTTTCAATGAAGGAACAGTTTCAGTACAAAATCAGCGTTAAGGTCCAAGTGCTCTA